ACACACACACACACATGAATGAATGTATGGCTGGCTCAGATGCATCCACGGCGGATGAATATGGCGAGAACTCAAGATTTTCTCACACGAGTTGTGAACAGTAACAACCCAACAGCTGCCACACACACACACACACACACACACACACACACACACACACACTTTCTCCACATACATCTTTTCTCTTTCTCTCTGAATACCTCATTCTTTTGTATTACTCTGTGTCCAGCTGACAAAAGCAGTTGGTCAGTGTAAACACTTAACAAAGCGGCATGCTGAAACACGCACACACACTCTTCAAGAGAGGTGCTTGAGAAAACAAGAACCTAAAAACACCTGAATAGACACAGATGAAATGTGCACACAAAGACGTTCCTGTGTGCTGCTCCATGTGCGTCTGCAAAAGGAAAGTTGATGCATAACAGATCCAGGAGCTTTTTCAATCAACTTCAAGATTTTAGGTAAAAATTTATATAAGCATATAGGTTAATGTGAATATCTTGGGTCATGTACTGGTCACTGTTTCTTTAAACTTTTGTACAACTTTTATTCACATTTCACTTTTAAATAGCTAATTTAAATGGTCCTACGGTGTGATTTTAACCCTTTAAAGACTGACACTTTAAATAGTAACACTTTAATAAACACTTTAAGTTTGCATATGTGTTTTTTTAGTATCATATTTGATCCATCAGGCTTTTATGGCTCACAGTCTGTAGAATATGGAGGAAAAAACAGTTCAAACTGAGCAAAAATATGCAATTTGGTGCAGATGCTGATGTTTATATGATGATCCTTACATAAAATGATATAAATATCAGTCGTCGCTCTATATCTCCAATAATGTGTCTCAGTAAGATGAGATTTAAATGATCCAAACATATAATGCAATGCAATCCAGTGATGATTGAGAGATGAAGAAATAAACGCTCCTCAAAAGATCCTGATGAGACGCACTGATTTTTCTAAAACATGATTGATGGAGAATCAAGTAAAGCTGAGCTGCTTCAGTCCAGCAAGTGTTCATCTGGAAATATTACTACAGTTATTCTTACATTTACTTGATAAAAATCAGAAATGTGCATGTACAGTAGGCTTAATAGGGTTACAATGCTGTTTAAAACAGCTTAAGATGTATAGCATTTCACACTGCAGGATATGCACAAAACTCACAGCTAATGTTCAGGTGTTGTGGTCGCCAGGTCATTGTGATGATTGCTCAGTGGTTACTTACTGGCTTAAGTCAAAAGAGCCCCAAAATCTGACGTACAATCAGATGTACAAATAGTGCAGGACGAGTTACACAACAAAGCTGAATTCTTAGCCTAGGAGGCTTGAGCGGTACAAATAAGAGCAATATTAATAGTAAAAG